AAAAGTAATACACTTTTGACTCACATTTTAAATCCTTACAAAAATTATACCTTTGTTATCTTATGACTATTAGTACTCATAGCAAATATTAAACTTAATCCTGTTATTGATATTCATATTTAAGTTCTCCCAATGGTCTAATAGTTAATTCAGCAATATGAACTCGTTGAGGAGTTCCAATTATATAAATGACACCATCTGCAATATCTTCAGGTTTCAAAAGGGGCATTGGAGCCTCATCTGTTTTGAACTCAACATTACTGGTTTTAAAGATATCCGTGTCAACAATTCCTGGACTGAGATTCTATTAAACAAAAATTAGAAATAATAAATTAGTTAAATTTTCTCTTGTAAACTTGTTGTGTTCCATAATAGTAAATGCTGAAAAAAATACATTTTTTGAGCAACATGCGTACCACATGTAAATGTTGGTACATGTGGCGCACACACAAGTGACCAGCTGGTCAAGCGAGCCATTTATTATAATWTWAAATATTAAATTTGGAGATATATTTACCGTAACTCTAATTTTAGTTCCATACAATTCCTTTACAGTGATTTCAGAAGCAGCACGAACAGCAAATTTAGTAGCTGGATACATATTAAACGTAACACCTGGGAAAGCAATTACAGCGTGACCTTCAATACTGCAATAAAAGATTTGATTAGAGTGTTAAAATCTATTATGTTTATCAGTAAAAAATCGATGATAACAATGACATTAAAAACAAGAAAAAAAATAATAAAATTAACTAACAAACCTGCAGATGTTAATAATGCAACCTTCTACGTCAGCATCTAACATTATTTTAGCAGCACGTTTCGTACAATCGATTAATCCTAACACATTGACATCAAATAATTGTTTCCAATCGGATCTGGATGAATCTAAAGGACACATTTTATTAATTTCATTGTGAAATATAATTCCTAAAAAWTATTAAATTCATACCCATAAGTTTCTTTTTTGYTAAGACACCAGAATTGTTCACCAGAATATGAACTACTCCAAAATTTTTCTTAACCCATTCGAATGCATTCTCGACACTTTCAGGATTGGAGAGGTCACACTCGTATGCATAAAACTTTCCTTTATCTTTTCCCATAACATCCTGCATCTCGCTCTAATAAAAATGATTTTATCTTAGTAACATTAATAACAGTTCAATAAATAAAACGTTAAATATAATTTTTATCGACATCATTAGATATAGAAACTATTGTCAAAATAATTAATAATCGCGTGACTACGAATTTTGTAATTTGGTTAAAATTTCTGTAACCTTTAAACTTAATTACGCGACCTTGTATTAAGTCGCGATCCATACTTTAAAAAACCATGTTATATATAAAACTATTATATTAGAAATCACTAATTAATTTAACTATTATTAATTAACATTTATATACATATATTATAACTTATATTATATATTATTAATAATATTATAATTTTATATATGTTATATTAATATTATATAATTTTAATTATTGTATTATAATATATAATAATATATAATATAATAATATATATTAATATAAATTATATAATTTATTATAACTTATTATTAATTAATTTAACTATTACTTTTGTATATATGTATTTTGTTAAATGTAAAACAGTATATTTTTTTATAATATTTTAAATATAAAATATTTTAAGATTTTTGCAATTACAGTCACCTTAATAACACATGATCTATTTTTATGATAAGAACGTGTTTATAAAAAGTAAAAAGAAATAAAATGCAAACAATTACCTCCATCTTATTTTTCCTTCGTGCAAATCCAATGACAACGACGTCATGTTGTACAAGAGCTTTTGCTGTTGCTAATCCAATTCCACTGGATGCACCAGTAACTATAGCTACTTTACCAGACCAACGTTCCATTTTATATAATTTTCAATTTCAAAGGCGATAGATAAAATACTTAAGACGTCTAGAAACGGAAAACCGACGAAATATAAAAAATGACAGATACTAGTATGAGGTCCTCTGGGTTTATATAGATCGAATGGTTTCTTTGTGGTGGGGGTAATTTTTGGTACTCCCACTCCTTAAGTCAAGCTAGCCCTATTTATCGCAGAATGTTTAGTTAGACCTAATTGTCTATATGTTTAGATAGTCAAAATGTTTAGATGGACGATTAAATCTATCTAAACATTCTGTAATATATATATGCTAATAATTCATACAAATTTAACATTCTTATATCTTGAATTAATAATGTTAAATTTTCTAACCTTATTATTTAAATATTTTTTTTTACTTTGTTCATTCTAATTCTAATTCTCTATTTTTACATCCTTAGTTTAACCATTTAGTACAACATACAACATTCATATATTCTCGTCCTTCTTCAGAGCAATAGAGAATTATATTTATTATACTTTTACCTAATTAGAAAAACGTCTTCGCTAATTTTAGAATATCTGTTTACACCTTTTAAGAAGGTTGTTTTTACTTTTTCTAAAACCATATATTTTTCTCTTAATATATGACAAATGTATTTATTCTATTCTAAACATAACTACACTTCAAAACTTAAAGAAAAACATTGGCGTGCTTCTCAAACTTATATATAAGGCAAATAAATTTACTTAATATTTTATCAATTATATAATTTATATAAATATCAATTCACATCAGTTCATTAAATTCTCAATATTACTTTTTATAAATAATGATAATCAATATCTTAATATAATTTTCATATCAATCTTTATTAATTCCTTAACACAATTACATTTTCGATATTCCTTAATTCATTAATATTTCAATACAATTTTTATATCAATTCTTATTAGTTCATTACGTGATTATATTTTCGAAAGGTAAAGGTAAAAGATGTATGATGGTCTAAATGGGATGGGAAAAGTCTATATGATGTTTAAGAATAATGATTTATAGTTTCCGATTGACATTCCTGCTGATAGTTTGCTTGAATATCGAAGATAAATATCAAATAATGCACATAAATGATTAATCTTTTATATATACTACTTTTGTAATTGTTTCCAGGGCCCGTGATCCTTCCCCCTCTGATTTTTTTTAAATTTGGCACACATCGCTGCTATTATAGGATACTACACCACTAAAGCTAAAGGAATACACATGTACGTGAAATTTCAATTCACTTTTATTTGCAAGGGGCTGGCTATCTGCGGCAAGTTTAAAGACCAAATAAATCTTCTCATGGACTACTGCAAATGTGCCAAATTTGAAAAAAATCGGAAGGAGGACGATCGCAGTCTCCCCTTAAGATGGTTTCTATTTTTATTTATGCGAACTACTAAAGTAATGTCTCCCGCAACTCGATTTGTATTACTGCGAACAAATAAGAGAATCTTGACGGGACGTCACATATGTATACCTATTGATGTTAATTAGAAACTATTTTTTATTTTTTATTTATTATAAATCTATCTTTAATAGTATATTGTGCAACTAGTGCGATAAGTTGTCGATTTTCCACGAGAGCGAAGTTGAGCGAAGCGAATGCGCTCATTCACTCGAGTCGGCAATCGACAACATCGCACGAGTTGCAGATACTATTTTTTATTACAAATGCGGCGCTATACTTTCACGCAAATTTGGGGTCCAGGGGTGAAGCCCCGGTGGGGGGAAGCGAAGCACTCTAGACCGAAATCAAAGAACTGAAAATTTAGAAAAATTACCACTATTTTAGGTGGTATAGACTCCTCGTCAAAACTCTCATCAGTTTCTGGCTTCAGGTCGGGATTAGAACTCATTTTTTATTAATTTTATTACTTTTATTTTTATGTAAATAAGCATCTTAATTGCCAACTTCACTTTTTAAATATTGACACTTTAATTGTAATTTGTTTCGTTATCCATTTTTTTTCTATCAATTTGCATACGCAAAATATAATTTAAGTGAGCTAAGTAAAATTTGCGTGCGACAAATAAACTTATTGTGCACAAATAAACGTTTGATTTACTCAAAACTCATGTTGTAATTGTAAAATGGGTAATTAGCTATTTTTCAACCGCAACAGCGGGGGCTAAGATACTACTTATCCCGCATGAGTAATAAAAAAAATTGTACAGAATAAAAACAAATGTTTTTTACTACGTATCGTACAATTACTGTTTCATATTTTTGTTTTCTTATATAACTAGATATCATATAAGATAATTTAAGAAAATATCATATAAGATTAGATATAGATAGCACATAAGATTAGATATCATATAAGATAGTTTCTATTTATACCAACATAACACGAAAGGTTTTGAAATCTTTCAGTGGAAGTTTCGTAAAATATTTCCAAAAAATCTTTCAGAAATCTTGCAGGCATCATTCTAAAATATTTTGAAAAAGATTCATAAAAAATTTTACAAAAATATTTTAAAAACATTTCTAAAATATTTTACTGATAGAGTAATCTTTTGCAAATCTCTGAACGCGAACATTTTCACCTTGTAGAAAGATTTTTTTACAAACTTTTTGAAAGGTTTAAAACTTTTTAAGAAAGTTTTTAGAAAATTTTTATGTTATGTGGGTGATGATAGATATATGATATCTTATATGATATCTTCCTGATTTGTCGTTTCGAAATCTAATTTTAAAATAGATATTTCTTTTCTGTAAAATTAGAATTTTTTGAATTTCAGAAATAATATAATATTTTTGGAATTTTGAAAATAGTGAGAATTGAGAACATATACAAATGCTAATGAAAAATAAAACTCTTATAAGATTTCTAGTCATTTAAGACATTTCATTTTCAACTTATTTAAACTCTATTATGTATCTTTACATATAAAAATAGAAAAAAAAAATCATGTGTGCAGATCACACGTGTTAGAAGTGAAACCTTCAAAAATCTAAGTTTCGAGAGAATGAGACGAATGGACAGTTTTAAGAGTAAGATAATTGTAGGATTCATTTATTTTAATATTATTACTATATATAATAAAGATCACCGGTATGGTCTCTGGGTGAAATAGCTGATAAAGAGTGCACTTTTCACAATTCAAGCAATAAAAACGGAATGCTGAATACGATAGTTATAAATAATCACCAAAATGGTAGGATGTTTATCAAAGGAAATATAATTCGTCAGGAATTAGGTAAAAATAAATAATCCTTTTTTTGAAACTCAGGTATACAATTTTTTTTGTTAGTATGGTTTTCTATTTCCCGTTTTCATCTACATTATTGCGCTATATAACAAACATTTTAGGATAGATGAAATAAAGACGTTACGAAAAACATATGGAAAATACTGCAGGACTGAACAAAGGTTCTGGTAAAATGCAATGAAAGATCTAATAAAGATATTCTCTAGAAATGTTTTTTCAACTGTGTAGCTTACCACACTTCGAGACCCTTAGTATTTATAACATATATCGTCCTTATTCTTTGGACCAAAAACTTATCTTTCTATATACTCTCGTCTAAATAAAGATCTGAACAACGAAAAATTTAAAAAATGCATTGAATCGTATCGCTCTCTCAGCTTATCGAACTGTGTACACTACGAGTCTCAGATTTCAGCTCCGTGGTAAGCTCCACCGATTCACGCTGGGCGTTCAACATCTTAAAAATGTTTTTATTTTATTGAAAAATTACTATAAGCTTCTTAAATACGCAAATATCATAATTTATAATATAATTTTCATATATGCATGGGTTAGTACCACTCTTTGGATATTTTTCATAAAAACATATGAAAATCGAATTTAATAGACTTATTCTGTCTATATGCATCAAATATATTTTATAAAGAAGCAAAATAAGAATATAACAGTAATTTACATGCTTTTGAATGGAATTTGTCAGCTGCTCCTCATATATTCCACAGTATTCTCTAATTCTTTTTCTCTGATGTATCTGGTATTCCCTTTTTTTTTTTTAATATTTCAGACAATACAATTATTATATATTCTATGTACTTCATAATTATTTATTATAATATTTGCGAAATAAAGAATTCAATACTAATTTTTCAATAAAATAGAAACACTTTAAATAGAAAAAATATGACACGTTTTAAAAAAAACTATAGGCATGAATATTATCGCATCGATAATAAAGATAATAAATGTAGATCGAATTTCAACAGACCTTCCCTGTTTTTTATAATTCTTTTCTCATGAAAAGGAACCGACCTTGGGGTATAGGTAGCTGACAAAAACTAATATTTTCAAAATTCTATCTATCAAGATGGAATGCTGAATGCGATAGCCATAGATAGAGATGAAAATTGTAGAATATTTGTCGATAGAAAGATACGCCGTCCTAATACAAGTAAATATAATATACATTTTTTTGAAACTCAAGTAGATGAATTTTTTCTGTCTTACACTTTTCACACTTTCTGTTAATGTGAGATATCTTTATTATGGGTTAACACACACAAGTATTTCTTTTTGTGTTGCAACTAATACCTGAAGATGCTGTAAAAGAAGGGAACAATTGTGGTCATTTTTTTTTCGTTTCATCGGGTTTTGAATTACAACGATTTTAAAATCTATTTCTATTTTGGTTGTTTTATTTTATAATATTAAAAACTTTTTAAAAATTTATTTTTTATATTTTTTTTCCATATTTGTAAAATAAGTTATATTATTATATTCGTATTGGAAATATAAAGTAAATAAGGTTTATTTGTTTTTGTCACGTGTCTAGTTTCTTCTATTTAAGGGTTCATTCTGGTTTATCATTTTAAAAAAATCAATTTCTTTTCTTGCATTTTTCGAAAGTAGACATATGTAGAATTATCATACAAAAATTTTAGAACGATCCGAGTAGTCTAAGTATATTATTTTGCGACCCAAACACATAGAGATATTACAGATAGAGGAGACAAACCATCTGCGATGGTGTAAGTGGAAATGTCTCTGCATGAATATAGCAGCAA